GGGCAGATGGGCCCTAAGGCCCACCCCAGGTGCGCCTCCCCTCTCTCCCCTTCTGGCCACCACCCAGATGGGATCTGGGGGCTGCCGCCACCCCTGGGGAGGGAACCCTAGAGGGGGCGCAGCCCCCTCCCCTCCCCTTATATATACTTGAGGGTCTTGGGGCTGCCAACAGATGAGTTCGACCTCTCCCTGGCGCAGCCCTACCTCTCTCCCTTCTCCTCTCCCGCGGTGCTTGGCGAAGCCCTACAGGATTGCCACGCTCCTCCATCACCACCACGCCGTTGTGCTGCTGCTGGATGGAGTCTTCCTCAACCTCTCCCTCTCTCCTTGCTGGATCAAGGCATGGGAGACATCACTGGGCTGTACGTGTGTTGAACGCGGAGGTGCCATCCGTTCGGCACTAGGATCTCCGGTGATTTCGATCACGACGAGTACGACTCCTTAAACCCCGTTCTCTTGAACGCTTCCGCTTAGAGATCTACAAGGGTATGTAGATGCACTCTCCTTCCCCTCATTGCTGGTTTCTCCATAGATAGATCTTGCTGGCACGTAGGAAAATTTTGAATTTCTGCTACGTTCCCCAACAGGTGATACGGTAGTCTTCTGGCTGGATCATTGGCAGCATGGAAATAATGTTGTCCTCATGCATCATCGGTTCCCAAGGCTTCATTCATATGTGATTGATGATACGATCACCATTAAAGAACTTATGGAGCTGCCTGGCCTAACCGACAACTTCCACCTGCCCCTGTCGGCTGAAGCTCTTCAGGAATTCACCCAACTCCAATCTTTGCTGCCGCTAATCAATCTTCAGGAGGAAGAGAAGGACATTTGGAAATGGCCATCCAAGTCTGGAGAATATCAGTCAAGGATTTACTATGTGTCTTGCTTCTCACATATTGTGGTTGATCCCATATTTAAGTGGATATGGAAATGTTCATGCACTCCCAAATTCAATGTTTTTGGCTGGCTCCTTTTGATGGATAGGCTAAACACTAGAGACATGATGCAGCGACGTCATTGGAATATCCAAGATGACACATGTATAATCTGTAATTCTGCCTACCATGAGGACCGTGCCCACCTTTTCTTTGCATGCAACTTCAGTCAAAGGGTCTGGAATTACCTTGGCATTTCATGGATTCTTCAACCAAACCAGACTACCTATGAGATGGCTTTATTTGCTAGGAAGGATTTTGGTTTCCCATTTTTCACAGAGGTAGTCTTCACTGCCACATGGAATATTTGGACTCAAAGGAATGGGAAGATCTTCAGAAATGAGCTGCCTTCCTTTAGACCTTGGAGGAGAAATTTTGTCCATGGCATTTCTCTTTTAGCTCATAGAATCAAATGTAAATATAGGAATAGCCTAACCTCCTGGATAGCTGCCCTTCCTTAGTTTCTCTTTGTAAGTATCCTCTTTGTTGTTTTTTTCTTGTAATTTGTAACCTTGTAACTTCTCTGGTTCTTTTTAATAAAGAACTGTGAGGCTGTTGCCTTGCAGTATATAGTCAAAAAAAATTACCGAGCCGTTCGCCCGGACGTGGATGTATAGAGGCAATAGGAGATGCTCTTAGAACTTCAACTTTGTAGTCACAAAATTCTCGCAGAAAAGAAAAGGAAATATTTGTAGTTACAAACAATCCAACCTAGAAATTTTACTTAAACAATCCAACCTAGAAATTTACTTGAACAAATACGTATAGAAGAACGCCAAAAGAGTACAATTAATAACCGGAAAGGTTAAATATTTGATGTCAGGTTTTTAAACATGGGAAATGAATGAGTTTTTTTTTTTTGACAATTTATATTTGCAGGAGGATGGTAAATTTAGTTTGCAAGCACCGTAATTTCCTGACAAAAATAAATCTAAAACAAATTTGTCATGATCGATGACTAAACTTGTCATCCTCGACGAACATTACGTGCCTTGAAAAACGTTCGTTTTGCCATGCTTAAAACCCTAAATTCGTTGGATATCCAGGTTCAACAATGCGGCAGGGCTCCGCCACGGGGCTCATCTAAGTAGTTTTTTTCTTCGCCGGGAGAATCTGGTTACATCAAGTTACTACGAGCTAGCTCACGCAGTGTTGCGGCGCGCTCGTCTTCCAACTCCTTGATAAGACGCTCGACGCGGTTGTCGAGAGCGTCGTCCATGGCTTTACGTCCCCACGAATCCGTAGGATCACCGCGTAAGCAGGGTCTTCCCAGTAGTTGCCCTTGTACCGCTTGTCGATGAACACTGGGTCAACCTCATCCTCGGATCGCTCGTAGGATCGCTTCGCCCCCGCCGCCGGTGCATATGCAGCGACGGCCTTCCAGTTGTTGTCATCGCACTTGTACCGCTTCTCCATCACGGCCGCGTCGAGCTTGCCGTCCGACCGCTCGTGGCCTCTCTTCAGCCCAACCCATACTGGCTCGCATGCATCTGCAGAGTAGTAGTCCATGGCTTCCCCAAGCAAACGATGGTGTGCGTACGTGCTTAAGGTTGTTTTAGCTCTGATCATGACGCCGAGCTCGGTCTTCCGTTTGGAGCATATACGAACCCGCGCCACGCGCTTAATCCCGTTCCGATTCGAACTGGGCCAGCTTGGGCCTTGCAGTCCGTCCCCGACTGTGTTTTCCTTTTGACTCCTCCTCCCTTCTCTGACACGTGGGGCCCCACTGCCATGGGCTTCACACTGTATTTTTTTGTGATATTTTTACAGTACAAATCTGACAGCCAGGTCTCATGTCTCTCTGACAGGTGGGCCGCCATTGTCATGGGCTTCACACTGTACTTTTTTGGTGATATTTTTATAGTACATATCCGACAGCCAGGCTTCACGAAACAGGTCACCAACTTCATGGTGTGTTCGTGGCTTTTCTAGGAACATCCATATTTTACTGATTAAGCAACAAAGTCATATAAAATCTCCATAATACACTTCAGAGCATAATGAAAAGTACATGATTGACTGAACACCTACAGGACTTGGCTAAAACTTAGCCCTCGACGGTCTGTTTCGACTCAGCTTAAGACCGGACATGTGTCTTCGTTATGAAAAAAAAAGACTTAGCTAAAACAAGAACTACTCCCTCCGTCCGGAAATCCTTGTCATCAAAATGAATAAAAAGTGATGCATCTAGATGTTTTTTAGTTCTAGATACATTCATTTTTGTCCATTTTGATGACAAGTTTTTTCGGACGGAGGGAGTACTACATTAAGGTCTTGATGAGCGTGCTTGGAAGAAATCTAACATCTAACATATAAAGCCTCAAGAAGTGCTAGGCACAACCAATGCATCGAGCGCACGGTATCACGGGAGGGAGAAAAGACCACCACACCGCGCCGCGCGTGGGGGTGCAGCGCATATAAAGCCTCAAGAAGTGCTAGGCACAACCAATGCCTCGAGCGCACGGTATCACGGGAGGGAAAAAAGACCACCACACCGCGCTGCGCGTGGGGTGCAGCGCACTACGCGAAGGAAAAAAACCACCGCGCTGTGGTGGGCCCCGCGCCCGTCCGCTTTCTCCTCCATCCCCCTCGTCTCCAACCCTAAAATCTTTTCCCCCTACATCCGCTCATCCCCTCCACTCCCTCGACAACGGTGGCGGCGGCCCCCTCTGGTGGCGGAGGAGGGGGGAGATGGTGGCGTGGCGGCGACCTTCCCCCCTCGTCATCCTGGATCCCACCGACCCCAAGGCGTGCGGGCGTGGCGGCGACCTGCAAGGGAAGGGCGACGCTCGAATCGATCCAGCGCCATGGATCGGTCCCTGCAGGAGAAAGAGAAAATGAGGGAGAGAGAAGGAAGGAGAGGAAGGAGAAAGAGAGAGGAAAGAGGAGAGGGAGGTGCAGCGTTGACTGACGGCTCGCGCGGTGGTGCGGCAGACGGCGGCCTCAGCGGGTGTGCGACAACACCACGCAGCTCCTGTGCCGCGCAACCCTCTCCTCGCAGGCTCAACAGGAGGTTCCCAAGCCAGCTCGGGCCGCTGCTACCTCTTCCTCGCCGCCCAACAGGTCGCCGTGCTGGGGGAGCAGGGTAGCATCGGGTCCACAGGCTGGGGTGGAGGCCTTCCCAACTTGGACTGCGCGTCCTCCTCTTCGCCGCGTCATCGCCCTGGCCAGCTGAGCACCAACCCGACGGCTCCAGCATCCGATGCCAACACAACGAGGTGAGCTTCACCAAATACTCTCTCTCTCTCTGTGTGTGTGTGTCTCTCTCTCTCTATCTGTCTCTACCTATCTCTTCATGCGGCCTCCTCCCTCTCTGTAATCTTTCGAGATTGATTTTGTTTCCAGGTATACTCCAATCAAACATGTGAATATTTACCAGAGTGCTTCAAGATCGATCTGATGATCCACTACCGCTTTGCTTTTGGGACTAATTTGGATGGGAATGGTGATTTCATGGTTGATTATGATTACTTGGTTCTTGCTCTTGGAGTTACTGTGAATACATTCAACACTCCTGGTATGATGGAGCATTGCCACTTTCTGAAGGTAAAATCCTGATTGGCATTGTGTGTCTCTTTACTGTTCTGCTATTTCTCATGTTTCAATCCTGAGATGTAAGTTACAGTTTAATTTCATGCAAACTCTTGAGATATATGGTATTTGTACCGTGCAGTATTAGTCATATCTTGTGCTTACAGCCTCACATTATAAATGTCAGGTAGTGGAGGATGCCCAAAAGATTCGAAAGAGTGTGATAGACTGCTTTGAAAAGGCGTCACTTCCTAACCTCAGTGAAGAGGAGAAAAGGAAGATCCTTCACTTTGTGATTATCGGTGGTGGACCTACTGGGGTTGAATTTGCCGTGGAGTTGCATGATTTTCTTGTCGAAGATCTGGTGAAGCTATATCCTGCAATTGAAGAAAACTCTCAACTCCTACTTGCGCTCCGCCTCTTCCTCCTTTCCATCGCTCAATAGGAGGCAGCTCATCTGGCCGTGCAGCGGACCGCGTCCTCAGCGGGTCGGTGATGGAGGTTGCAGCTGGTGCACGATGGCGATTCCAACGACAACAGGAATCTGCAACTTGTTAGACTTCTTTGCAACCCCAACAAGGCCCTCGTCTGCTTTGTCTACATATATGCATGATTTCTATGATTGGAATCAGATAGCACTAACTATGTGTCAGACTGCTAATATTTATTTGCTTGATGATCCTTGAAGCGCACTCTACGCTCATACATGATCCCACATATTCTAGGTATAATGATACTATCTTTAGTGTTCTGTTCACGGGAATTTGACAAGTCACTGCTTAAGATTTCTTAACTTTTGTACAGATGCTTTCTTGAGGTTTTGGCTAAAAATCTGTGGTGTCCGTCACTCATCAGGTTGAGTTTTTACCAGTTGCTGATCTTATTATTCTGGTTATATTGTCATGAATAAAAAAAATAGTGCACTTCTTTTTGAGGAATCTTCATGCATATTTGTTGCATCCTTACAAAGTAATTGTACTTTAGGTAACTATGACGGGCTAATGCCTTAAGCTGGGACATACAACAAAATACTTATTTTATGGGAGGAGTTTATGGAACTGGGTAGTGCTCATCAGGATGCTCTTGCAGCAATTGACACAATCGATGTGGCTAATGGAGCCAGTGAGTAACCTTGCCACCCTTCAGTATGGTCAGTTTTAATATATACTACAATTTCTGTATGCAAGAGTGACCTTCTACTGTTCTAAATGCAGTGTTCCGTTTAAAAAGAAATTCCATACGCAGATTTAATGTGTACGATCGAACTATCTTTAGTTTATTAAGGTACTCTTTCTAATATTTTACTGTAATAGCAGGTTTTAGCCAATATTTAGTATTGAGGTGTTGATGACAGCAAACACTATCCTGCTTGTCTGTTTTCTAGACGTGTTTCTATATGCTTTTCGGTTGTTAGTTGTGATACTTTTTATTGTCTTTCGAAATTAAGATGTGCTTTGTATATGTGATGATACTATATACTTTCTATAGTTATTGAACTATATACCATTTTTTTATTTATGCTTATGGAGTGCTTAGTTAATCGCTTGCAAGTAGATTTTATAGATACCAATAGAAATAATAACTTGGGATTTATTTCTGTTCAACCTCTGTGATCTAGATGAGCAAAGCAACAACTTTGGCTTTATTTCTTTGTGATGTAGATGAGCAAAACAGTAACTTGGATTTTAATTCTGTTCTCTATGATGTAGATTAGCAAGATTTCTAACCAACAAAGTAATTTATTTTAGTATGGTTTTGTCACTATGATTGGTAATATGAAGTTTATTTATTCTAGGTTCCTATCTTTAGACAGTCATATCCACGTTCGTACTTTTAGAATAGTTGTTGCAACGGGGAAGAGCATTTCTGCAATAGCAAGATATCAGGACCCAATGGGCATAGGCCGAACCAACCACCATCACTATTGCTTCAGGATTAGATAGCTAACTTCCACTCGTAGGTGAGTTTGCTTACTCTACTTTCAGTGTACTGTGCAGATATGTTGGTTAGAAATTTTGCTATGTGTCTGTCAAGTTGATTAGATATGAAAAATATGCTCTATAATACCCACATAATACTTGTTTAAATTGGCTTTTCCCTGGTTCATCAGTGCACACATGAAACCGGTAATAAGAAGAGAATCACCTGATTTTTTAATTGTCTATTTTAGTAAGCATGTTCATAATATTAGGATAGTTTAATTTGAGAACAATTGGCTGGAGGAATGATGTAATTTGATACTCTGTTATGTTGATCTCCAGAGAAATTTGGTTTTTGGTTTTTCATTGATGTACGTTAATCTGTTGTGAATCTTGTTTGCTTGCACCAATTATGTGTAACAATTAGAGGGGAACTTTTGGAACTCATACATTCTATTTCAGTTAATGTTCAAAGCAACTTTCCTGTGTGAATCTGATAATCTCACTGAAACCTGTGTTTCATTGTGTATATTCAGCCTGTCGAGTCAAGTTTCGGACTGATCATGTATCCCCTTGATATTCACTGGATGGAATCCCTTGTTTTACTCAAACTGAACCTTCTACAAACATAGGAAAAGCAACAGTAATAAAGATGGACAGAAATTCCAAAAATAAGGTTAGTTCTTTTTTGTTCCGTATCATTCTCTTTACCGTTCCTTTTGGTACTATACTCCAAAAAAGAGGCAATCGGAAATATTTAGGTCCACTAAAAAGTAATTCTAGAGCTCGCAGAGTTCTCATTTTCCAGATTTGCAGTAGTATTCGCTTTTGGTTTACATGATATTGGTTGTATCTCCCTGACAACTTCTCTTCGGTTGGTGTAGGTGTTTTTTATGGATGTAGCTGGTTGCGATGAAGCTAAACAAGAAATAATGCTATCACTTATTACCTTTGTCCTTCAAATTTGAGTATAGGCCTGCGCAATAATGAATATTTGTGTCTCATTGCTCCAGCATGGTCAATAAAGATATGTTGACCCAGGAAATGTGGGTTTATCATAGGTCCTACTGTATGCGTTGATATATGAAATATGACATTTCCGGTTATATGCTATCACTTATTGCCTCTGTCCTTTGCATTGAGTATAGGCCTGTGAAATAATGGTGTATTTGTGTGTTGATTCGTTTGTTTTCCTTCATGTTCTGGTTCTAAGGTACCAGGAAAAACCCAGAGTTATTTGTAAAAAGTGCTTTCCAATGTACCAATATTTTGTATCCTTTCTAATGCTTAAAAAAGAGGCGAATAATTCTTTTAGAATATGTAATATCCGACATGTGTAACACACCTTAAGAGACTACTAAGTTATCCTGTATAATTGGCACGCCCTACTTTTATAGTAATAAATATATCATGTGCTGCTCCATACAGGTGATACATTGCATTTACCATAGTATTTGATTACATATGATAACATAAAATCTGTTTTTTCCTTAGCGGTTCGGCACACTTAGTGCATAGAAACAGAGTACAGGCAAATTTATTAGATGCATTAGTTAAGAACACTGATTTTTTTGGAAAGCTTCATCATGACATCGATATTGGTTTCGCCTTACTGCCACTCAGAGGTTGGATGGAGCATCGAGGATTTCAGGCTTGGGGTGGCCACGTGTTGCAGGAAAGCAGGAAGAGTTGGATGTGTTCTGTAGAGACCAGGTGATCAATGTCGTTGCCGCCAGGTACCTGAAGTACAACACTTCTAAATTTGGTCATTTATTTATCCTCATAGCTGGTTCCCTTGATACTTTTTCTTAGAAACATGATCAAAGATACAAAAAGTAATACTTCTGAAGCAGAAGTGGCAGTATAGTGTGCATGTCGTATTGACCTGTTCATGCCAATGGCAGAAGTATCTGATTCATCCGACCTAATTCAAGTTAACTTGAGTGCAGCATTAGATAAACATTCACTTATAAATTCTACTCCAAATGGACAGTAATAGTAGTACGTGGGCAGTGTAAAATGTGTTTTTGTTAGTTCAGTGAAAATTAGAGATCAACCTAATGGTACTTCATTTTTATTCTAATCCGCCAAATGCTATTAAGGAAATGAAGTTTCTTCCTCGATCAAGTTATCAGTCGTTGGTTCACTCTTGCCCTTTGCGCTGGATGAGACGGGGAGGAGGAGGAGGAGGAGAGTGTGGGGGCATCTGGAGAGGAGCGAGAGCGAGAAGTAGCAAGAGATTCCTTAATAGCATTTGGCAGATTAGAATAAAAATGAAGTACCATCAGGTTGATCTCTAATTTTTACTGAACTAACAAAAACACATTTGCTCCACATTTCCCTTTGCGCTGTCAGTGAAAATGTTATACGTCTTAGCTACCTCTGCTCGCTTTCGATGTTCAGTTCACTACTTTACTGCTCTTTCCTTAATTTTGAGAGGATAAAGGAGAGGGAGCTACAACGGCAGGAGAAGAATGCAATGAGGTGCGGTCTTCTGTTCGATGCCAAGGGCCTGTCCGGCAGTGATTTCCTCGGTGAGTACTCCACTACACGCCTTCCGTCGAATCCAGAGAAGAACATTTATCACCACCACCATGCATGTTCTTGGCTTGGCTTGGGGTTCGTCTGCTAATGGAGATTGATCTGATTTTACCTGTACTTGCAGGGATGATCTACATGATATAACAAAAGGATTTTATATGCGTTTGTGTGCTTCAGAAAAGGTTACTGCTACATTCAACTTTTCACTAGAAATGATTCGTATATCCTGAAGATGTTGCTAGCATCTTGAAGGATTACTTATATTTGCTCCCTAATTTCCTAGATTATACGAAGTGAGTTGGATCATCGAGGGTTGGCGAAACTGATATTCAAATTTGTTTTGTTCTTTAGACCAGACATTAGCCCTTTCTCTCTATTTAACATATTTGAAGTTCTCATGTTACATTATAGTAAATATTCAATTCACTTCTATTTTGTAGACAGGTCATTAGCCTTTTCTCTCTATTTAACACATTTCAAGTTCTCATGTTACATCAAAAGTACGCTGGTTAGGATGTTTGCAACAATGCCGTGTGTTGTAATCTTTGTCCACTGTACATGCACAGATTAAATACTTTCATTAGTACTTTTACATATTTCAAGTTCTCATTGTTCAGTTTGTTGGTTTAATAGAGAATGTTCCTGATCCTTACTTTCATAGGTACATTTAGAAGTCACAATAGAGAAGGTTCGTAGCCTTGGCTCCAAAGCTTCAAGCTCTTATAGAAATTAGAACTGAGGGCCTTTTAAAATGAGTCCTGCATAATAGTGTTGTTCAGTAGGATGCAGAATTTTTGTTTGTCTGATCGGCTATCCTTGGTGCTGATTTACGTACTGATTTCATCATCATATGACTACAATAAAGAAGTTGTGTGTATAAATATTTCTAACTGCTGATACTTTGCATCAGTGATTTCAATTCTGTTGGCCCTCCTTAACATTGCTTGGGAATGTGAGGCTTAAAAGTTTCAACCCTGTGCAATGT